TGTTTGTTTTTTAAAGCCCACTCCACAAGACTGAACTCATCCCTGGTACTGTTAACTGGGCCAAAGCCCATGGCGATCTAGGTCACAGACCCTAGGGGAGAACCAAATACTATTATTCTGCTAAATGGACATAGTATTAAATTGTCTTCTAGGTTCTTATCTTTTCTGTGAATTAGGGGAGAGTGCAAAGGCAGCTCCCCGTGACCACAAATTATACAGTCCAGTTTCCCACATTTGGAGGAATCACAGGGGTCAGCAAATCTGGAGTGCAATGGATGAGCCTCGCCCTGGGAAAACCAACTTCATGCTCATGGTATCTCCGCTGCCAGTAAGTACCTTATCCTTACACCCATAGATTAGTGCACTTCTCAACCCTCATCAGACAAGCTTCTTGTGCTGGTAGATGGCCATTATCATCGAGACCCACAACTGGTCAACCTGCAGAAAATTAGACTGTGGCGTGGCATGCTCAGCCACAAATGGGACACCTGTACCACAACCCCTCCCCCAAGCCTCAGGGTTCATTGTGGAAAAGGGGATGGAATGAGTGTAAGAGCCAGGGGTAGTGGGTATCTTCATGGAGACAGTATTTGCTGGACATGACAGAGCTACTGCACACATGAGCTCATGGTGGCTATGACTACATGCATAAGACAAGGTCAAGCCAACTAAATCTCAGCATGGATGGGTGAGGGATTCTTGAAGTCTCATCCCTGGCTGAGGATCTATTGGAAATTGATGTCTTCTGGAGAAGGAAGAGTCAGTCTTCTTAAAGGATGCAAGCCATGAGAGGCTACCCAGGTGCCAGTGGATGGTCCTACACCCACACACATACAGGTGACATTAAGTGAACTCAGTGGGTTCTAAGAAAAGCCCATATGAAAAAAATAGTGGTGGGTATAGGGAGAAACTGGAAGGGAGGGAGTGGAGGGGTATATTTGTTCAAAACACATATGCATGTATGAAATTCTCAAGGAATAAAAAAAAGTTAATACAAAAACTGGATCTATATACAAAAACACATACATCCAAAATGTAATGTTAGTCATCCTAGAAAGAAAGGATAAAATCTTATAATTGACAGAATCATGAATGGAACAGTAGGGCATTGTGGGAGGTAAGATAAACCAAGTGTAGAAATACAAATGCCCCAAGTTCTGACTCACTGATGAAAAGTTAAAAAAAAAA